CTCCCACCCTGGGTTAGATCCAGCCCCTGGGCCCACTCATCCCACTGATGCCATGTCTGCCCCAGCTCCGCTGTGCTCCAGGCACTCAGGGCTCTGAGACAGTCCTGGTTCTGGAGTTTCCTGCCTGATTTTCCCAGGGACAGTCTCACTGAGCACACAGCACCCTGTCCTGTCTCCACCTGGCTGACCCCAAGGGACAGGGGGACACAGTGACAGGTTCCCACCTGGCACAATAGATGTGTCTCTTCCGGGACCATCCCAGCTCCCCCAGCCCCTCGAGAGAACCGGTACCAGGCTCTGCCAGTGGAAGCAACAAGGATGACGGTTCAACTGGGTTAGAGGGTGAAGTTGCAGGAAGAAATCTGAGGGATCCAGAGAGACTTCAGGGCTAAGGGATCAGGAGCACAGGTATTGCCCTCCTCTATCCTTCCAGTTGCAGGGAATGACGAGGGGAGGAACAGGCAGGGCCGGCAGGTCAATACCTGACTCCGAGCCCAACATCAGCAGCAGATTTTTGGGTTTTTGGTGAGGGGTTGGTTTCAACACCAGGTGTTTGCTCTGTGCTGGAGACACCTGAAGTGCCCCTGTGCTCATGTGGGCAGCACCTCAGCCATGGCAGGGGACAGGGGGTGGAGAACCCCCGGCAGCAAAGACACGAGAATTGTGGATGGGTCAGAAATCAGGGAAGCGCCCGAGAACAGGCATGTAGGAACTGGGGCTTCTCCCCCAAAAACGTGGTGGGATCAACAGCCCAACTGAAGGGCACCTACACCAATGGCCACCATGTGGGGAACAGAGGAGGGGCTGCAAGTGTGCAGCTGGAAAACTGTGACACTTGCCATCACAGGAACATGTCAGGATGCCCTGCAGAACGGGAATACTTCAAGGAATGGCTGTAAGCTCTGCAGGTGACAGCAGGCTGGGCGGGAGCGAGGATCTGCTGGAGGGCAGGAAAATCCGCAGGGATATCTGGGCAGGCTGTTACCCTGCACCCCACCAACGTCTGCAGAGGGCTGGGGAGGAGCCTGGAAGGCACTGGGAGCATGAGGGACAGCGGTGGGAAGGTTCAGGAGCAGAGAAGTCTGTGCTGGTTGTAGCTCGGTCTCCAAAGCAAAGCGGGTGGAGAGGAATCGTGTGGTAAAAATCACCAAAACCCAGGCTGATGTAGCTTCTTTGCTCCACCCACATCCATAGAAAATAAAACACCCTTCCCATGTAAGAAATTTGTTACCAAGTGACCCAGAGCACAAGTGGCACTGCCAGAATCCCCCCCTGGCTCCCAGAGGTTCTGCCCCCACCTCAACTTAACTGCTAACAGGGAAAACAGCACGAAAAAGAACCAATTCCTTGGCTCTGAGAGCCCTGAGCCATCTGAATCTTCTATCTAAATGTACCTCGGGTTTTAGTCATAGAAATGGCTACAAAATGCCTTTTTTTTTTCCCCTTTTGGTGATCTAGAAACCAGAAAATGCCTCTTTGTTGTTGCTTCAGGACAGTCTATGGCTGGTAGTCTATGACAGTTCCTGCTGGTAGGAAGCTTGAGGGGGAAGAATTTGGGCACACAAACACATACAACATTGGCAGAACAGAGTTGACACGCTGGGCTTCAAAGGGTCAGGCAGGAGCTTTTTTCCCCAAATATATTGAACAGCACTTGCCCATTAACAAATAACTGATCAAAGGAGCTGCAGAACTTGAGGGTTCTTCCAGTGGTGGCTCCAGACTTTGTTTCACTTACACACTGTACCCCGGGGCCATGGAGCGTGCGAGGGAATCATCGGGAACAGGGGGAACAGCATCCCGGGTTTTCTCGGTGTCCATATCCTGCTGTTTTCAGCATTAAGTCAAAAGCTCAAGTCATTTTCAACCCATCAAAGCCACAAAACTTCCACCTCTTCTCCAAGCTGGCCCCAACCCCGCTCAGCTCCTGCCGGAACGTGTTCTGGAGTCGCGTCATGAGAACTTCCACTTCCGCCGTGCAGATCTGTAGGAACACAGGGAAAACATGACTAAAAATGGAGATGGAAGCCCTGTGATGACTGGAGGTACTCAAACTCAAATGGTTTAATTGCTGAAGTTCATCTGGGCTTTCCCTGAACTCATGGGGATAATGTTGGGACACGGTGAGTTGTGCTGCTGTCCCGCTTTGGGGTGAGACGGCTGCAAGGATGAACACTGGAAGTCAGGGTAAAGAGACTGTCTGGATTTTTTTCCCCTGTAGATAATGGATTAAAACCTCCCAGGTATTTAAGTCACTGAACAGGGAGCACTTTTACCTTTTTTTATTTTAAGTCCCACATGTCTGATGGCGCAGGAGCTGCTCCAACAGAGCCAAGTGGGGTTGCATCGGTGCAGAGAAGGAACCTGAGCAGGTGATTTGGGCAGGTTGTCAGCCCAAGGCCTTGCCAAGCCCCATTCAGGGCTACAGACAGCTTCTGAAGGCCTGTTTCATGGCTCCAAACTACTTTGATCCTAATTTCTGTGCTCTCTGCTGACCTTCTTGGTGAGACTGATGGGCAGGGAACAGGGGGAAAGATATTCCTTGTCCTTTCCTGCTGGCAGCTTCAAGAAACCAGGTTGTACTTTCAGGTACTCCCTCTCCTCCTGCCTCACCTCAGGCCCAAAGATCTGCTAGAAATTAAGAATAACACCCAAACTAATTTGAGCTCCTGCAGGAGTGAAGAGGGAGACAGAAGAGCTCATGAGGAACCCGAAGGACAAGCAGGAACATCTTCCAAGGGAGCAGGCACAAGAGCCCAGAGTGTCAGGGAGCAAGAGGAGACTGATGCCACAGCAGAGGTTCAAGAGTGGGCTCTGCACAGGCCTTTTCTCCCAAGCTGGCAGCAGAAACTTCCAGCAGCCCTGCTCTGCACTGTGGATTCCAAAGAGGAAGTGCCAGAAGGCAGCTGAATGCTACGATGGCATTTTTATAAGAGCTCCAAACCAAAATAAAGGCAGCTGTTGGCCTCACAGACAAATTCCAAGCTAGAATGAGGAGATAAATTGTTAACTCTGTCTTGGTAGGGCTGGAGTGAGTCACGCCAGGGAGTCTTGTTTTCTTAGAACAGGGTAAGTTAAACACTGAGTCAGAAACACAAGCAGCACAGAAGTTCCAATCCCAGGAGATGATTCCCTTGCTGGTGAGCCTCCTGTTCCTGGGAAGACAACTGAAGGACAGCAGAGAAGCGAGATGAAATTCCCTTGAACATCCGAAAGCCTCTGCACAGTTGCTCCCATTTACTCCAAAAAAGGAGTGTGAAGCCAGCAGGACACAGGAATTCTGCAGGACACAGCAGCTCCATATTGTGCCATGGGAAAAGCATGAGCATGGCTGGTTACTGCCCTCAGTCACCCTACAACCAGGGATCGACCCCTGTCTTCCCACAGACCCCCTAAAAAGGATCCCACCAACAGGATCAGAGACAGAACAGGCTCAGGGAAGGGTGATAGGATCAAAAAAACCCAAGAACTTCGCTCAGAGACAGACTGACTGCTCAGTTTAGGGAGAACACACACAAACAGGGCCACAGCAGAGGGTGTGAGATGTTTGATGCACAAAGGTGGTTGTTTGCTCCTCTCCTTGGAGGTCATAAGGAAAATAAAGGGAAAGGCAGCAAACTCAACAGAATAAACAAAAACATGTATGCTATGGAGATTTTTCCCTGCCCAAGGCAGTGGTGCAGTCCCCATCCCTGGGGGGATTTAAAAGCCATGTGGATGTTGCACTTGGGGACACGGGTTTGTGGAGAACCCCAAAGCTGAGCTGCTTTGGGCAACCTGGTCTAGTAGCAACTGTCCCTGCCCATGGCAGGGGGGTGGAATGACATGGGCTTTAAGATCCCTTCCCACCCAAACCATTGTGTGATTCCAAGAAAGTTCACCCCTTCCAGCAGATTCCTGCAGGGAACACATTCCTGCAGTCCTCTCTGTCCAGCCCCCACCAGTCCCCATACCCACCTTGCTGTCCAGGCGCTGCAGGTAGGAGCAGATGTACTCAATGCTGGCTCCAAAGGGATGCACGTGGAGAAACGTGGAAATTATTCCTGGGGAAAGGAACACCACAAATGTCATTGTCATGAGACAAGGACCAGCTGGGAACACAGGGTGACACCCTGTGTGTGTCACACAAAGTGACACCCTGACCCTGCCAAAGCTCGAGGTTCTCCTTGGTTCCAGGACTCCCACCTCCCCTGGGATAACCAAAGGAACCAAAGGAGGCCAGAGGGAGTGCAAGGCCACCTTGAAGCAAGTCCCCTCAGCTCAGCATCACCACCAAGCCCCTCAGAACTCACCAACTAGGAGAACTTCTCGTTCAGATTTCACAGGACTGTTGCTCAACGTCTTCTCCACTGGACATTCCTTCTCCTGGCTGCAGGCACAAACTCTGGACGTGCTGCTCTCCTGCAAAACAGAACCACAGGGCCCGCTGCAGGCAAGAGCAGCCACCCTGGCACACCAGGCAGAGGCAGGGGCAGGCTCAGAGCCTGCCCTGGGGTTCTCCTGTTTCTCTGAGTCGCTGCACCCATCACTGGTGTATCTACTGGTTATGTTCCAAAACGCTTCCAACAAAGCACAGCCGTGCCCGTGGTCCTGTGTGTGATCTACCAAGTGACATGAAAAGCCCACGGAGTTCAGCCAGATGCCACCACACTCAGTGCACCAGCCCTGCTCTGTGACATGATGTCTGCTCCGGAAGGGCCATGTTTTAAATAACAAAATACAAACCAGAGCAAGAAGCCTTGCCATGGCTAATTCAGCTGAAGAGCTTTAATTTTCAAATGCCCAAACTGAGGCAAATGTGATGGACCAAGTGCCCAGGGGTCACCCACCCAGGGTTTAGGATCAGACTGTCCCTGCCTTGAGTTTGTGGTACTGAATTAAAAGAGAATTTGGCATAATTTATTATCTCTGAAATAAACACAAGTCTGACAGCAATGCGAAGATGGTGGGTGCGCTTTTATTCCTGAGTTTTATGCGGAATTCCAGTGGCCTGAGAGCTGTGGACAGCTATAATTGGGAACAGCTTCCAGTCACCAGTGAGATGGGCTGGAGGGGGGCCAGTGACAAACATAGAACTGAATTGTCCCCTGGGTTTGCTCAAATTCATACATCAGTGCAGTTCTCAGCTACACAGGGCTGAGGCTGTGCCCAAATGGCCTGAGCTTCCACATTCCAGAGGAGAAAGCAAAGCTCTGCCCTGTGGAAGCTGATCCAGGGACAAGCTGAGCCTGTTCAGTGCTCAACCACCCTCTGGGGGAAGAACCTCTCCCTTGGACATGAAGCCAATCTGTCTGTACCAGGCTCACCTCACACAAACCAACCCATAAACCACTGCACATTTTACACTAAGGTGTTGTTACTCCATCAGTGAGAGATTCTGTCTGAAATAAGAGAAAAGAAGCTCTTGGACTCACATTCCCTTGACAATCAGCTGCATCTCCCTCCTTGTCCTCTTCATCTGCCATGCTCTGCTATATATGGGCAAAGAAAGGAAAGATTACTGATGATAATCTATTATTTCTCTTCTGAGGCTCCTGCTCTGATCGTTACCGGGATATACAAAGCCATATTTAGTTCCTGGGAAGACATTCATTGTCTTCCCTAGCTCATGGCACAAAAAAAATGGGGCTAAAGATGGAAAATCTGAGATAAAACCCAGCATCTGGCTCCATGGGCCATGGGGAGAAGTGCTGCCTCATGTTTCCTGTGTAATTGTCTCTGTGCTACAGAGGAGAGGACCAAGCAAGTGTAGATTCGTGCAGGGATCCACAATGAAAGCAGAGTGGATCACACCTGAGAAGCAGCACTATGCATTTACGTTTGGAATAAAGCAAGCATAAAAATATTACACCACTGACAAAAACTTTCAATTCCATAGTGGTTTAAGGAGGGCAGATCAAAACATGCCCCTAAACCACAAATCTAAAAACCAATGTCTGATAATTGAGACCCTTTTTCTTATCTTGCAAAGCTCAGATTGCAGAAAACCCCGTTCCAGCTGTGATACCAGCTGTGTACAATGTGAGTTACTATTTATTTATACAGTTGTTCTCACAGGTACATGAAGCCACCAGCAGGTCCATTACTGACAGACATCCTCCAATTTAACAGCTCATTTTTCCTCACTTTCCAAAGACAACTGCTCCTACCAGGGCTGGACATCCTCTACAAGATTACAGAAGGACAGAGGTCCTTCACCATGCTCCTGGTGGAATCCAAGGACTGCACAAAGAAGCCCTGGATGACACATACCTGCTCCTTCAGGTTTTCTAGTAACGTTTCCACTTTTAATTTGTCTTCTTTCACTTTTTCTAGCTCTGCTTCTCTCTTTTTGTATTCCTCCTGGACTTTCAAAAGATGCTGGAAGGGAAAAGATAAACTCAGTTCTTAACCTGCCTTCCACCTCCTATTATTTAAAGACTATAAAACAAAGAAGGGCTTTTCCATGAAGACCAGACAGGTCATATACAGAACTGCTACAAGGTAAAGCATAAACCAAGAAGAATCTACAATGTACCTTAGAAATGCCTTTGCCTATTAGCATACTGTGTAAATATGGGACAGTAATTCCATCACCAATGGATGGATTTCCCACTGTCTTACTCAGTTATAGGGGCACACAGGCTTGGTACTTTGGAAGTCACAGTAGGGTCAAGCAAAGACCACACAAGGAATCCATGAACTATGAATCGCTTTCATGGGATTCACCAGCTCATACAGCCACCAGTCGAAATATTTGGTCATCTGGGGTTTTTTTGACAACACTGGTAACGACAAAGTCGCTCCCACTTGCCGGTTTGGATCCCACCAAAGCCGGAGTGTTTTTACGTGTGTTTTTGCCCCCCCCCAATCCCAGCCCCTTTTGCCTCTGCTACAGAAAATTCCGGTCCCACCTTCTGCATGCCCTGCAGGGCCTGCTGGAGGAGCTTCATCTGCTGCTCCTTGGTGGTGTCCTCATCCCGGGAGGCTTTGCCCTGCTCCCGCTTGAGCAGCTCCACCTCGTTGCGATAGGCGTCCAGCTGCCAGCGCAGGCTGTCGTTCTCCTCCTTCAGCGCCTCCACCTGCGACACCAGCGCTGGGAACACAACAAAAGTCAAACACCCCAGGGCAAGAAGCTCCTGGGTGCTTCTTCCCCTCACACACCACCGCATACAGGGGCTCAGCAGCTCCCGGTGAAAAGTGCTGAGCACCCAAAGAAATGCCTCCCAAGCACTGTTTGGGATATCACAGGGCTGGAGCCCCTCTGCTCTGGAGCCAGGCTGGGAGAGCTGGGGGGGTTCCGCCTGGAGAAAAGAAGGCTCCAGGGAGACCTGAGAGCCCCTTGCAGGGCCTAAAGGGGCTCCAAGAGAGCTGAAAAGGAACTTTGGACAAAGGCCTGGAGTGACAGGACAAAGAGGAATGGCTTCAAACTGACAGAGGGCAGGGTTAGATGGGATATTGGGAAGAAATTCTTCACTGTGAGGGTAGTGAAGCTCTGGCACAGGTTGCCCAGAGAAGCTGTGACTGCCCCATTCGTGGAAGTGTCCAAGGCCAGGCTGGACAGGGCTTGAACAACCTGGGCTAGTGGAAGGTGTCCCTGCCCATGGCAGGGGGTGGAACTGGATGATCTTTAAGGTCCCTCCCAACCCAAACCACCCTAGGATTCTATGATCTCCAGAAGGCAGGTTGTGGGTTTGTAGTGTAACACTGCTGCTGAGCTGCTGTCTCTGGATTAGCTTCCATAGGGCAGGGCTCTGCTTTCGCCTCTGGAGAAAGCTTCCAGCTCCTCCACATCCTGCTCCATTAATCCCAGTACACTTCACTAGGGACAGCAGCTCAGACACTGCTTTAGGTTCCCCTGACCATGGCAGGGAGCAGTGAAACACTGTCTGCAGACCCAGGCACTGAGAGCAAACAACTCCAGGGAACTGCACTGATTCTGCTCTGCCCATGACCATTTTGGGGTGCAAAACACTCAGAATGGGCCTCCTGAAAGAAACCGCTGAAGACAAGCGCTTTATGAGCTGCAAAAATTGATTTTACCTGATTCTTCCGTTTCTTTCATCTCTGATGGATCTTCTATTTCTTCATCAGACATTTCCATCTCCTCCTCTCTCCGGATACCCATCAGCTCATCGTTATGGATGTTACGGATTTCCTGGGGTTCAGAAAGTAGAGGGAATTTCAATACAGATTAGAAGGAACAGGTTGGTTGGATGAAATGTTGCTGAAATAGAAGTCTGCAAAACACAACTCCATGACACAAGAAAGGGGAAATGATTTAAAAATTGACACAGATGATTTAAATCAAGGGCAATACCCAGCATGAGTCAATCTGTCAGTGCTACTGCAGTTATTGGCTCTTCCATCTTCCTTCTGCTCTTGTGACGAGACAAGTCAGACTTGCTGTGCAAACCACAGGGAATTCTGCTCAACCTTAAATACTCTGGAGCCAGGAAGTCCCAGCCTGAGCTGGGACAGACCAAACCAAGACTGCTACAGCTGCACACCTGCATGTACAGCAAAGGAGGTTTGCCTACAGGTCCATCTCTTAGCACTACAAATACCTGCAGCCCCCTGAGCCCACCTGTGCAGCACCAGAGTGGGGTGTCCCTTGAGCAGAGACCTCCTCAAGGTGACCCCAAAAGACTGAGATACCCTTTACCCAGCATGTGATATGTACAATGAGGTAAGAGACATTTTCAATTGCAGATGCTAGCAATGCTTTTATACATGTGTATATATACATATATATATATATATCTGTCAAAATCTGTACCAAGAAGCTGCATCTTGTGGCTCCACCTTCATTTAAGAGCAGACCCTAAGCTGGGGGAGAGCAGCAAGCTGAGCCCAGGAACAAGTGCTCTTGGAAGAGGCTTCACCGGTGGTCTCACAGCCTCTTCCCACCAGGAGAACTTACCTTGGAACAAAAGACAGCTCCAACTGGAGAGAGAGCTCCCACCCCAGCCATAGCGAGCAATCAGAAAGTAGGGAAGAACGGGAGCACTGGGGGCTCAGGGTGGAGGAACAGTCTGAGTCACACTGCACCTGGCTTCTCAGGTGGAGAGGAAACCTTGGCTCCTCCTTTAGCTACTACAGAGGTTTGACTCAGTGGGAATTTCAAAGTCCCAGAGGTGCACACTCATGGGGAGATCACAGCTGGAAACTTCCCAGGACAACACAGCCAGTTAGGGTGTTCCACCATGGTGGAGGAGGGACCATCTGCTTGTTACCAGAAGGGCCCTGGCTGGGTATGATCCAGCGCCACAGATTCTTCCCAGGCAGCAGCTGCATGGGAAGGTGGGCTGGACACCCCCAATCCATGGGGATCCCAGGCCTGGACATGCCCAGCCTGTGGTGATCACGGACCACCAGACTCTCAGCTTTGCCCAATTTCACTTTTGATGTCAAATAATCTTAGAGGTGAAAGACGACCCCTGGCTTTGCTGGGATAGATGTGCCTATTCCAAGTTCGTAATAAGGAACTCTATATCCAAGAAAAACCCAGAACTGAAGGATGATTTATACTAGAGGTAAGGAATGACAACCAAAGGGACCAGGACAGTGTGGAGGAGTGGGATCAAACCTCATGAAACTGAACAAGGCCAAGTGCAAGGTCCTGCACCTGGGTCACAGACCCCAGGACAAACCAGACCATCACTTTCCCAATGGACCCCCTTTCTTTACCTTAGCTTCCTTTTTTCTGACATTCTGCCTGACTCCCTTATCTGAAAACATCCTCCCTCAAGCTTTCCAGGCTGTCCAGCTGCAATTATTTCCACCTCTCAAGGTTGAAATATCACATAAAAATGCGATAAAACAGATTCTGATGACATTTAGGGTTTGTTGTTGTTTGTTTTTTTTTTACCATCTCTCTAGAAATCCCTCTTCCTTTAATACTAAAACCAGCAGAACAAAAATCAATATTTATTATTATTACTATTATTACTGCTATCACTGTGCACAGCTTCAATCAGCAGACAGGTCTCCATGTGTCGCTACAGGTAACACGAATACCAAGAGGAAATTTATTACCTGTAACACGAGAGCCGAGTGAGCAACTCCCACCTCACGCTGTGAACGAAGGTGTTGTTATCCACGCGAGCATCGTGCACACTTAACATCAACATCCTGACAAGCAAGAGACCGTGCTGGAGGATTCTAACACAAGAAAAGATTACCAACCTCTGCTTGTTTGCACCACACGCTGATGTTCTTACGCTGAGCTTTCGTGAAATGGTCCCAAGCCTTTTGTTTGGAGGCAGAATGGTACACGGCCACTATCTGCTCGACTGGAGTGTCAAATCAGCAGCAAATCGGGCCCGAATAGCATCCAGAGAGGGCGAACAAGAGGAGTAAAGGAGTAAAAAAGTGGAATCAGGCAGGTGGTTTGGCTACCCTTTTCTTATAACACTGTACTGTGCTGATGCTACGCTCAGGGAAGAGGCTCAGTGCCTGGAAAGAGAAGTGTGGGCTTCACCAGGCCTCTGCCAAACACTCCCGGGAAACGACCAACTGGGAAACGGGCTCTGCTCTCAGCTGGACAGGACACGTGGAAAAAAAAGGCAGCATGTGTGTGCTGAAAAATATCCAAATTTGCTGTGCAAGGCTGGCTGGGAGTGTAAGGAGTCCAGGGGGGCAGGACTCGCCCTCCACAATGGGATGATGAGGTACAACCGTGAGTTCTGGCCCTTGGGACATCCCAAAGGACAGTGCCACAGCCTGTGTGACCTACAGGAAAAGGATCCTGGCACTTTCCGTCAGCTTTTCTTGGTCCTGAAATTTATTCCTTCTGTTTCTCTAGAAAATTCCCAAAGCATTTTGGATATACAAAGTGCTTCTCCTTGGCTGAGCGCTCACCCACAGCACAAAGCACATCTACCTGATTGGGTTTTTATGCTTGTGATGCAGTAGTTTTTATTTCGTAACAATTACAGCATCTCCCTGCTTCTCAGAGTAACCTAAGAGTGGCTGAGATCTCAGCTGTGTTTTAGGGAGTGGAGTTACACACTAGTCTCTATTATTACTTACTCTGCAGTGCTCAATGTATGTCCCTCTGGACCGTGTGCCCATATTTTTTACCAGTAACAGAATTTAAAGAAAAAAAGAATTAAAAAAATAAATAATCAAGTAGCAGCTGAAATTATTAGATATAAAATCAAAAGTTAAGAATGTTCACAACCCAGGCAAGAGGATCAAAGAAAATTAGTACAATTGTGGAGAAGGTATTCATAAAGAAGTAAAAATACTCAGATTTACTTTAACAGAGATGTGTA